GATGTTGGATGGGCCATACCCAGCAATACACAGGAGTGACTCCTGGCAGGATCATATGTAATACTGGAGTCAGCCAAATGCAAGACAAGTGCTTTAACTCCTGTAATATCTTTCTAATACCAGTTTTTAAATTATAGAAGAGTTAAACAGAAAAGGTGTACGTATTACATGTGATCAATTTCACAATTTTGACCATTGTTTTGAGCATTGGGAACTAAATAAGACCAGGATGTGGATCAAAGAAGTTCATATACAAAGCCCTGGACTTGATCCTTGACACCAGGAAAATATAAACCAAAAGCTGTGTAGTCTTAGGCCAACTTAATACACATTATATTCTATTCCTTTCCTATAAATATATACAAACTATATTTCATGGTGTCTTCCTAAGGTAACCATAAAAGCAGAATTATGAATTTAGTGAATGTTGAGAGTAAACTGCAAAAATATAAAGTGCTTTTATAATAAAAACTCTTATTTTAGGAATGAGGCAATATCCATTTTTAATAAACTATCCCATAGTAGTTTCATTTACCAAGAAAATGCAGTAATGAATGATAAGAATTAGGGCATGCCCTAGCTCTTTTCTGCCTTACAAATTCCATCTCTTTCATGGACAGAGAGTATCCAGCTCCTTTTCTTAATATGAGTTTACTTATTATTTTATGATTGTTCTCCCAGTAGACTACAAGTTATTTTCTGGAAACAGGAGTTATTGTCCATTACATTTTGTTGGTCCCTGCAGGGACTGTTTCAAATCCACATGAACTCATGATAATAAGCAAATCAAACACAATCTTGAAACAGATTTTGTTTTACATAGCTCTGTTTCAGGATTATAGTGAAGTATGGTGCTCTGACAAAGGAAGTACTGACTTGCTGAATATATACATCAAATGAGTAATATTTAAAGCAACTGTCACATTGCACTTCCAGATTAACAAAGACATGCAGACCATTTGATGGGATTTATAGGGCTGGAGCGATAGCACAGCCGGTAGGGCGTTCGCCTTACACGCGGCCAACATGGCCGACCCGAGTTTGATTCCTCCGTCCCTCTCGGAGAGCCCGGCAAGCTACCGAGAGTATTCGATATGCCAGACACAGTAACAACAAAGTCTCCAATGGAGACGTTACTGGGCCCGCTCGAGCAAATCAACGATCAACGGGAGGGCCTTTACCTTACCTTACCTTACAATAGCTTTATACAGCAATACCATAACTATTAACACTTTGACTTTTGTAGTCTATTCTGAAAGCAATAACCTCAGAATAAGGCAAAATTAGAGAAAATTAGGAATGTGATCATAAGGTAATTGGGCTACCTTTCATGTCTGAGTTGGAGAAATTACTATTACTATTTTTTTTTTTTTGATAGAGCTTGGTCTAATGCAGGACAGCAATGCTCAGGGTCCTTTGCACTTCCAGAGATTAAACTAAGGGAAATTCAAGGTCTTCCCATGCTATACATGTGCTCTTCCTTTGAGCCTTCTCCCAGGCTCCTCTATAATAAGTCATACATAATCTATAAGAGAAGAGCTAAATTATTTTGTTGAACATAGTATTATAAACAGAATGTGACTTTTGGAAAAATATATTGCTAAAAGGTAGCGTTGAATAATGTGAAGTCTTTTAATAATAAAATGCATGAGGAGAAAATAAGAATAGTGTCAAATAACAGCATAGAGAAATACAAATGACTTTGCAAATAAAATGGCTGTAGACAGCATATACCTGATATCATCAAAATGGTTAAGCACAGTTATACTAAAAGTACATGAAAAAGTTTAAAGTCAGAATTATGTTCTCAACTCCAAAAACTGGTAATTTACAGATTCTCCTATGAAAACTAGCCCTGTATCTAAAATTGTCCAAATTGACACAAATGATAAAAATGTTTCTGAAGTAGTCATCAAAGGGCATATCATATAAAATAACATAAACATGAGCCATATCAAATGAGAAAATGATGATTCTAATTTAACTCTAAAAGTAAATGGGATTAAAAACATAATTTAATTATTCATACCCAGTTTATAAGTCTACAGTATAATCTTGTATACATTTTTATATAAGTTACCGGTAAATATTTTTAATTATAGTTTATGTTATAGGTTTCAGTGGTGTTAGATTTAATGGCCTGATCAATATTATTGCTAAATAGGTGGGTTCACACCCTTGGAATTAGAATGTATATACACAGGTGTGTGAGAGAAATGAGTCTATATTATGTACTGTTCAAAAATAGTATTTTATGAGACTCATAAATTTACCTTGCATATGTTATTCTTAAAACAGAAGAAAGGAGGAACTTAGCAATTACAACAAAATTCTAGTAGATCCTCTCCTAAAAATGGATAAATATGTCTACTGTATAATCAGGGCAACTCATATGTGTGACAATATTATGTGTAATTAATATTAAAATATTGAGGACAAATTCAATTTTGTCAATGAATGAAAACAAAGTATAGACAGAATTGTTTACATGGTATGTGTAATATTACTCAAGGTCTTACAATTTCATTGACAAATAAAGAAGTGCCTCATTCTCCCATTCACTGTATATTTCTAATCACTCATAAGCAATTTAACACTCAATATATTTGAAGATTTTAAAAAGTATTGTAGTCAGAGAGCAAAAGTAGGCTCATTTATATAAGGTAAATATCATGTATAGATATGTCTATACTCAATCTGAGTTTTTCCTTTTGTATTTGATAGTTTGAAAGTGAATTGCAGTTACTTCATGTTATGTGCTCAGAGAACCATGTGGTTCTGGGATTGAACTGGACCAGAGAAGCACTTGAACCCCTGTACCATATCTCTGGTCCTGATTTGTCTGTTTAAACTTTTTATATGCCCACCTGCTTAAACTTTTTATATGCCCCACTGAAACCTCCCAAATTTTGTTCCTAGTGCCCACTCATTCTCAAAGTATTGAAGGAGTTTTCCCTAAGTATTATGCCACTAACGTGGCATTTAGTTGGTCTACTTCACATTAATTTAATTTCTGAGAAATTCTCAATAGTTTATACAATATATCATAGGTAAATTTTCCCAATATAAAGTTCTCATTCCTGTAGGAATTTGTAAAGTTGTAGTGTTGATTTTTATTAAGTAAAACAGCAACTTTTATTGTTCATAGTTTTAATATATATATTTAAGAAATTGTAGCACTGTAGCACTGTCCTCCCGTTGTTCATTGATTTGCTCGAGCGGGCCCAGTAATGTCTCCATTATGAGACTTGTTACTGTGTTTGGCATATCAAATACGTTACGGGTAGCTTGCCAGGCTTCAAGAAATTACAACAGTCACAAAATCAATATCTCGGGAATTCTGTCCTTCATAGAGCTTCATTCACAGGGCAGATTAGAGACAGACAACTATGTAAATAAACACGCCAGACAATGAACCTATCATGGTGAACTCTCCTGTGACACTCATGGAGTAACTGCTCATGTGATATGACTTGGTGTGAAATAACACCAAGCTCCCCCCATCCAAAAAAAAAAAAACCAAAGTCAGCAGTGAATCGTCAGGATTCAGAAAATCAAGAAGCAATGCAGATGCTGCCCCAGCTCATGTGCTTCTCGCACCCAGGTGGCTAAGCACATGTGTCACCCGCATCTCTCCTCTTGAGATGTGTACTCGCATGCTTTTCTGTCTAATGCTGGGATGTGTAGGGGCCCTCTCTGCCCTTGTAGAAGCCTGGGTTCTCTCTTGACCAATATACTATCCACTTTCTCTCCCTCCTTTCCTTCAAAAACCTCCAAATAAAATCTGTTTTACTTCAAAAATAAAGAAAGAAAGAAAGAAAGAAAGAAAGAAAGAAAGAAAGAAAGAAAAGAAAAGAAAATCAAGAAGCTTTTCTAAACCCTGAACTGATTTTTATTTCTGTAAGTTAAAGTACTCAGACCCTCAGAGGCACATTCTGACTTACTGTTCAAGTCAAAAAATAGTATTACTGCAGCAACTTGGATTAGTTTTAAGGGAAACAATGCAATGAAATACACTATGATTCTAGAACCATCTTGTTGAATAAGGAATATTTTCCTGTCAAAGTCAGAAATTCTCACTGCATCACACACAAATAGATACATATTAAAGTAACTCAGGGTCAATCTATTTTTCTGGAAGGGTATTCTCCTGTCCTGGGATGGCAACAGTAACTATGCACTGTATGCAGTCTTTGGAGTGTAACATACTGTACTCATTCCAGGGACTCCCTTGTAAAGTGGAAATTAATCTGAATACTCAAATAGGATTTATATCTACACACACTGATAATGCAGTAAGTGTATCAGAATATATGTTTTTTATAATTCTTGTTGCACTGTTACTTTAAAAATCTGTATGTCAAACTAAGGCACTATGTTTTATTTTTGTTAAAGGTACAATCAGGCAATTGTGTGACAAATTTTTCATCATCTTTCCCAATTAAGTTGTATGTGTACAAAGTGTGTGCAATAAATTAGGTACAGTCTTGGGGCCATTAGGGTTAGAATTTAAATAGATTCTTATTACATCTATTACATCACAGAATTAACAACACAATTTTCTGCCCTTTTCAGGCAGTGATAAGAACAAGTATATACCTGGTGCACAGACTCATAATATACACATATATGTGTTTCTTCCTTTACCCTTTACACGTATATGTAAATTACACCCAACAGTACCTAAAGTACAGAAAATTAACTGGGCAAGAGGTGTTTTATGACTCCCCATTAAGCGAAATGTTTATCTTTTATTTCATATGACAAGGTTTTCCTAAACCATATTTTGGCATTACTTTTGTTTCACTGGCCGTGTAGTATAGCCCAGTTTAATGGTTGAAAACCATGGTAAAGGGTAACAGAAGAAACACGTATATAGACACAAATGAATCTAGTTATGATTTAGAAAGAACAAATTTTATGAGGAAACTGAATTTTAGAAAGTAAATTAATACAGAACATAAAAGTCTTTCAAAAGCATTTAAAGAACAATCACCTACCAGCTCTACTCGGCCAAAACCTCCAACTCCAAGGGTGTCGATGATGTTGAAATCAGACAGCTTCAAGTTGGCGAAGAAAGCAGCTTCAGCTTCATATCTGGATTTTTTGATGTGAAAAAATGGAAATTTCTTAGATGCGCACACACGAGTACCAAGTGCAACTGTACCAGAATGACATGACTGTGGAACAGGAATTACCTGCTTAAATTCCATCTTGCTTTTAGAGTCTGTCTTTGCTCACACTCATAATATTTTTGGTCCCAATCGTGCAGAATAGCACTTGTTTTCCAAAGGAGGAAAAATACAAAGTACCCAGTGCATGCCACTCCTGTGACTTAGAAATGCAGTTCTCAATCAGAGTTACATCTCGCTTGCTTTTCTGCGAGTCTTCTTGTGAGCATGGGCTATTTGGCTTCTCCTTAGGTTTTGTTTTGGGTTTTTTGGTTTTGCTTGGTTTTGCGTTTGCCGTTCAAGGTTCTGATGGCAGTTTCTCATTAGTTTCCCTTATCCAAAGGCTGGCAGTGGCTCCTATGAAAATGTATTTTAAAAGTGGCAAGATCTCTGAGGTCTCTGGAGCGAAACTGCAGCCAGGAGTTACGAAAACAGATCCGAAAAGCTGAGGACTGATGGGCTAATGTCTGAAATGGATGATTTCAGAAGCATATCCACATTCTTAAAGTAACTTCCTTTCATTTTGTGCTTTCTCACTAACTTTCAGCAAGTAAGCTCTGTGTCTTTGCGTTTGCCAGTTCCTTATATGAGGGGCATGAAGAAGCATGGATTAGAATCCAAAAATCTAACTATGCACACATGTACGTGCCCAAAATAAACTTATCCTGATGAGACAAGTGAATATGAGTGCCTAAAAATACCTTCTAGCTAAAGGCCCTACTATTTTTAGAAAGGGCAGGAAGCCACCAGGATGATCTTCCCACACACTGCAAGTCAGGTCAGGCAGTAATTCAGCTGTCCCCAAAACAAAGTATTTGAATAGCGGTGCATAGTCCATGACCTTCAGTTTGCAGGAGCCTGATTCTGTACTTCACTATACACAGACATCCCTGTATAGACTCAGGAGAACTACATTCAAAGTGAAGTCGGTTTTTATGTAGAATAATCCATAGTCAAGTTGGGCATGAACTGGTTCAAAATTTTTACTTTTCCATGATAACAAAACACCATTTTAGATTTCCTATTTTGGGAGACCTGTCAAAACATCTTTCTAGGTCAACTTTCAACATTCTCCCAGCTTCAGTACTGAACATTCCAACTCTTGAGAAACTCCTAAGAGGCATAATATATTGTTTATCATACTGACTAGGTGAAATCAATTCCCTCTTGTAAACAAGGCTGCCAGTAAAAGTCATTTGTATACTTCCCTGATTAACTACATAGGGATCAGTTTTGTAATTCAGGAGATAGTTACCAGAATGAAATTTAAGTAGCAAATGTTCATTTCTCGAATTCCAACTTGCTCACTATTTTGGGAAAATTATACTCCTTCCCATTTAAAGGGTTTGGGGGGGGGTATTCCAACAGGTGCTTTAAAAGGATCTTCGTTTGGGACAGATCGTGTGACAGTCGGTATGTGTTTAAGCATTTCCTGGTGGTGTAGACTAGTGTTTCTCAACAGGGTGCCAGATGGGCCCCGGTGATATCCAAGGGAGTCAACAGGTAGTTTAGAGAGAGGATGGAGAGACACACAGGCATGCGCCATGATCAAAAGGGGGGTCATGGTCAGATAAATACTGAATAAATATCTATCCTATGTAGGGCTGAGTAGGTAGCTCAAAAAACTAAATGTGTGCTTGCCATTTGGAGGCCCAGAGTTCTCTCCCAAGCACTACATGATACCAGAGTACCTGTAGGTCCAGCCATTCAGTTGCTAAGTATCATAAGGAGTAGTACTTTGATCCCCTGTACACTGGTTTTTGGAGTTCCTCATCAATCCTCCTCTACTCCTCCATTCCCTATTCCCCCATTTTCTGTATGTAAAAATCTTCAGGTTAAAGAAGAAAAATTCTTTCAGACAACTTTGATATAATTTTATATATTTAAGTTTTATGTTATTACTTATAGTTCTTGAAGATGCCCACAAATTCTATTTTTTTTTTTGCTTTTTGGGTCACACCTAGTGATGCACAGGGGTTACTCCTGGCTCATGCACTCAGGAATTACTCCTGATAGTGCTCAGGGGACCATATGGGATGCTGGGAATCGAACCTGGGTTGGCCATATGCAAGGCAAATGCCCTACCTGCTGTGCTATTGCTCCAGCCCCAAGATGCCCCAAAATTCTTAAAGAAATATTAATATTTTGCTGCATATCAGAAATCCCTGAGCATCTTTAAAAGATCACTTGACTGGAGGTTATACCCTGAAATATGTATTATTTAAAGGATCCTGTTCTGTATTATTTAAAGGATCATATTTCTGATGCACAGTGAAGAATAATATAACCTTTCTGAAAGTCTGAGGAAGTCATAGAAACCAAAAAAGAATTATACAGTGAACTGAAATGTACTAGGGAAATCAGTAGCTGTATCACTAGCTGTATCAGTAGTTGATGCATTCAGGCCAAGAATGGTGGAACCTCATATAATAATCAAGTTAATCTTGATTTCTGCAGCTCAACCCATAGAAATGAACAATAGTGTTCTAATGGCTAATATGGCTTAACCACAGCAAATTACAAAAAAAGACACTGAATTTAAAAGCTAAAGGTTTTTAGTGTATGTCTGTACTTCTACAGAGAAAAACCTCTTGAATTTCTTTGCTTACAGTTACTATCCAATTAATTACAATCCATCAAGTCTGTTCCACTTTCTTTAGCTGCCACCAGCTTGACTGAGGAATAAACTAAGAAATTAAGTAAATTAATATTGTTTTATTAAAAAATATTGTTTTCTAGAAGAAAGTAAATATGTAGTCCAACTTTTTGGCTACTCTTCAGGCACTGAATACAAGGAATTCGGTAGGCTCTGTTGTAGAGAATTTTTCAAACTCATTAATGTAATTCTTCATAAGACATATAAAATTTAGCAGGTACAAAGGGAAATAGTTATCAATAATAATTGCCTGATATTTGGCTTCTTAAAATCTAACAAGGATTATAAAGAATATTTCTAATGTACTTTAACTTGGTTTGAGATTATATAGATGATGGTGATGATGAAGATGACTTCATATAGGATTAAAGCAATGAATTGCTTTAATCTTGACACTCAGGAAAGTAGAAATATTTATATCTTAGTTATACTTTTAATTTAAAGAGACTGACAGACTCCTAAGTAATTCAACATAAAAATAATAAAGAGATAAATTTATTATTTACTTGGAGACACAAATATTATTTCCAAAACAGAACTAGCCTTAAGAGTCACCTAGATGAGAATGGTAAGAAATCACAAGTACTAAATATACAGGATGGTCTTTTAATCGTGAATACTCAATTTGTCTCAAAATCTTTAAAATAGCAAAGTTCCCAAAATTTTTACCTCCTCTTTCATTCTCCCTTAATTTTGAAAAACAGCAATAATATAAAGCAAAAGATATAAAAATGAGGATACCAAGATATATATGCATATATATACATATATGTATAGTGTAGAAACAGACAAGAGACCTGGGAAAATCTCAACTCCTCACTCTATATCTTCATGACTGCATAATATTATATATGATTTCCTAGGAATTGTATAGTAACTCTTTTTAAATTTTCAATCACTTCTAAAATTGTAAACTTCCAAAACCCAAAAAGTCAAAATCTGACATCTTTCATATTCACCACAATATTCTCATTCTCTTTTATTGCCTTAAATATGTGAATCAATGCCATCATTTCCAAATGAGGACATGCTTTTATACTTAGTGACTGATAACTTGTAAGAAGAAAACCTCTCTTCCTACACATTAGAAAGAAAATATGTTTAAAAAGTGAGCGGGACTTAACATGTATCTTCACTTTGATATGAAAGACATAGCTCAATTAGTTTACAAAGCAGATAATGTGTTTTTAAAAAGGGCCAAGGATCCAAGGGAACTTAATGTGACAGACAGATTACACAGGCCAGTAATTAACAACAAAAAGAACAAAAACTCATGTAATCCAATTTTCCTTAGTTCAATCCATCATAAAAATTAACTTCCGATGTCTACTTTCAGGAAACTACCTAAGGAAAATCGAAGTCTTAGGATCTCCTAATGCACAACACACTGTTACAGGTTTGTATCTTTTTACCTGGTCTCGGATGTATTTTTATTTCATGTTGAATTTAACTAGTGTTTCAAGAAACATATACATGTATATAAGGTATTATCAACAACTGTTTCTTATTCCACATTTTACTATTAGGTAAGAAAAATTCAATTAGGCAATGGCTATTCTGTTCTTTAAAATTAACATGCAAAGTATCATGAAATGAGTCAGAAATAGAGGGACAGACATAGAAAGACTGCACTCTTCTGGGGAATATAAAGTGACAGAATGGAAGTTGAACACACAAGAATAATTGAAATAAGTACCAGGAGGTCTGCTCCAGGGCTTGGAAGCAGGAAGCACATGCTGGGGGGAAAGGCAGCTCAGATAGAGAAGGGAACACCAAGTAAAGGATGTTTACTTGGAGGACTCGCTCGGGATGTGAGATGTGTGCTGAAAGTAGACTATAGACCGAACAAGATGGCCACCCAATACCTCTGTGGCAAACTACAAGACCCTGAAGGAGGCGGGGTGGGGTGGGAGGGATGGAGGGTGGGGGTGGGAGGGCTACTGGGATCATTGGTGATGGAGAATGGGCACTGGTGGAGGGATGGGTACTCGATCATTGTATAACCAAAATCCAAGCACAAAAGTTTGTAAGTCTACAACTGTACCTCATGATGTTTCACTAATAAATAAATAATAAATAATAAATTAATCTAAAAAAAGGTTAAAATATGTGAAAGTATCTAGACTCTGACTGACAAAAACCTGGGACTTGGAGTCCTGACTCTGCATTTGTATTTTCAAGCTGTTATTTCCACAGTATTAAGGCTCTTCTAGGAGTCCTGACAAGCATACATAAACAAGAAGTGTGAATTCTGTAGATAGCCTAAGTCA